AAGATGGTCCCAAAATGATTCATCTGTCGAGCGACTGCGATCTGTCCTCCCCACACCACTTGATGATGAGGTTGGACTTGGAGGGAAAGAGGAAAAGTTGAAGTTGAAGTTGAAGTTTGGTGAATATCCGGCTAGGATACCTCGGGTTCGCCATTCCCGTAATGACAAGAGGATATACTAGTTATTGAATTTAGGCGGTCTGCTTTTTGTTTGTTTTTAGTATTGATTGATTGATAGCAGAATGATCAGTCAGGATTCGAGGCCCAATACACTCCAGCCTTTTGGCCTATTGTATTCCTGATCATGCTGTTGACTCAGGTGAACAGGTTCGCTACCTTGATAAGGTTCAGCAGCCTCTTCACCAAAACATTCGTTGGAAAACCCTCTTGAGAGTTTAATGCTCCCAGAAGGTTGTATCTCCAACGCGCTAGTGCTTCGCACTCCAATATTACATGGGTGGCAGTTTCCTCCTCCTCATTGCATAGTCTGCATATGGGTTCGTCTGAATAGATGCCCATTTGATGCATATGCTTCCTCAAGGGGCAGTGACCGGTTATTAGTCCCGTCACTTGTCTAATCTGACTTCTGTTTAGGCTCAGAATGTCGTTAGTCACTGTTCTGGACAGTGTTCCAACCATCAGTTTACTGTGTCTTGTTTTTAGTAACTAGATTTAGATTCTGCGAATTGAAAGAATCCTAACTTTCTCAAAACACTAGAAGAAGAAATTGACGTGAATCAAAATCCATTGTGTAAAGAAAAAATCACGCTTCAATTCAAAAACATGATGAAGCTGGCTTTAATTAATTAATCACTTTCTTACCACAGGGCGTTTAGAAGTTCAGCGTGATCAAGCCATCAGCTTTTTTAGGAACTTAAATCCAGTTCAACATTTCTAAACATAAATTTACGATTCAGTAGGAATTTCATAAAAAGTCACTGGGCGAGGGTGTATTTCAGGCATACCGTGGGCATACCCCAAGGCTCTCGAGGTTCTCTACTTAGATCATTCATATTCAGAATTCAATGATATGAAGCCTCAGCAATATGAATTTTTTTTTCTTTAGATGATTTCTTTCTCCAAACGTTTTCAGTATTCAATATTCATTCATTATTGTCGGTATGTGTCGGTACATTTAAATGATGATATTCCAGAGAATGCTTACACATGACCAGGAAAAGAGAAAATGGCATACCATGGACATACCCCGACGTACTCGAGGTTCTCTACTTAGATCATTCATATTCAGAATTCAATGATATGGAGCCTCAGCATTATGTATATATATTTTTTTATCTTTAGATGATTTCTTTCTCCAAACGTTTTCAGTATTCAATATTCATTCATTGTTGTCGGTACATTTAAGTGATGATATTCATGCAGAGCCAAGTAATCCAATGCATATTCCCGTAAATCACAAATCAGTACAGGCGCCATGTAGTTTCTCATGCTTCGCAAAGTGATTTGTTAACACATGGCCGGGAAAAGAGAAAAAGGCTTATCTAAATGACCATTATAAGTTTTTACAATCGCCATTATGGGCCTTCTGATCGCAAGTGGAATTCCAATTGAATGTTTGGCACGTTGATGTTAGTTTTACATTAGATTTGAAGGTCGAAATTGCAATAATACTAAAAATACTATAAATCTCAGATATATAGGGTTTTCCGAAAAATATGAATTTCGTTTTTGATTGATACTACATTGATTTGAATTTGTTTGAGAGACAATATTTGAACAAGATTAATTTATGGAGTTTGTATTTTTTCATATGGTGAGTATTTGTACCAGCTGCCTACCTACACGTATTTGATCAATCGGAAATAATGTAAAGTACTTGTGATACACGTGATAAAAAATCATGGCATCTCGATTATTTTGCTATGATCATCGACCAAATTATACGAAAGCATCGTAAATTTTTCAAATTCCTTCTATTTTTATCTCAAGTTAGATCAGTACACTATTCGTTGAAATAGCACGTGGTAAGTCCATTATTTTCCTGTTCTGTCATCAAAATAAATTTCCAACACAAACCAGTGTTCTCAGTTTCTGATTTATCGTTTGTTTACCTTCATAGATATTTTGTTAGCTTAGCCGATATTAACATATTCGAACAATAAATTTCAGTTCTAATGAATATCTTCAATAAGTACACATACATGAGAAGCTCGTTAACGATTTCGACCCGATTTGAACTGCGTTGATGGAACAATACAGGGTGATTCCGAAACACCATATCCCATTATTGAAATAGGTAGTATACCTATAACGAGACCTATATAAGAAATCCAGAACGTTGAGAATTTCAAGGCACTCTTGAAAAACATCGATTGTTTTTATATTTAGAAAACAGTACAACTTTTGAGATGAAAAATTCTAGTGTAGGAGAGCAGGCCGTCTAACTCTTTGAAAAAAAAAATCGCGTTATCCATCAGACCAACTCTATTCAGAAACAAACATTTTTGACGTTGAACAATTATTTTTTATAAGTATTGCCACGACTCAGTTAGTTAACAAACAAGGATTGATGAGTTGATCTTCCTGATATGATACCAGAGAACAAACTCGATATATTGTTCCATTTATGCATAAATCGGTAGGGCGAAGAAGTTACAGTTTCTCAGGGCCAAAAATTTACAATTGCTCACCTGAAGGTCTAAGAAAAGAAACACAAATAAAATTGTATCGAAAGAGATTGAAAAAATATGTATCAGAAATGTCCAGATTGGCAGTACATGAAATTATAGATATTTGAAACTTTAAAGCATTTATATGTTTTAATATATATGTGTATGTGAGTTTTTAAGTATCTATAAGTTTTCATTGATGAAGATGAAATAGATAGGTTAAGAAAATTATATATTTATATTCACAACAAGTTGATAATTTTTAATATTCTTTTGTGTCAATTATTACACAATGTTATTTATGAGTGAACTAGTTTTCTGTCATAGCATTTCCACATTTTGTATGTTGTGTATTTTATTTATATATTTTGAAAGTTCCTATATCAAATTTTGTGCATGAAATCGAAAGTGATGGATTCTGGGATGAATGATTAGAATTAAAATATATATATTTTTAGGTTATAAAGACTCCTCCACTGTATAATTGTGGAGATATTTATATTATTATACGATTCGTACCAGACTGAAACTGAAATTTATTTGCTTTGATAGGTGCCTGTTAAATAACCGTTAGAATCAAGGTTTTCAATTGATAAATCTATATATATATATATACATATACAGCAAACTATAAAAAAAACTTCGCAATTAAAGTCTTATGTTTTGATTAACATAGACTGATAATTATTATAATTACACCTTATACGAGCGTTGTTTTGGGAAACCAGTATCATAATTTCTCTGATAGCATTTATTTAATCGAAACCTGAGATTGAACTAGATTATATACAATAATAATACAGTATACAAGCGTTTTCAGAAGAATTGACAGCTAGAACGTCCACGAATAGACGTTTTGATATACCAAGCGATTGAAACAATTGTTAGAATTCTGGGCTGCATATTATTATGAACAATTGTTCCTAATGTCATTCAACAAATAAAAATTAGGTATGAAGAAAGTATCTTTGTTGGTTGCCGAAGCAATAGTACGTATACGCAAGCCAGAAAAGCACAAGATTTTGCCGCGGCTGCCGTTTCATAGACAAGGCATTAATTCTGCTTTTCTGCCATGTGAAACACATATAATTTCTTCTCCAAATTCGTTCCAATTTCACGCAAAGTCCGAATATTCCATCATTTTGTGTTCACTCAAAGTCATTGTCAGTTTCGATTACCAATTTGTTTCAAATTATTACATAGATGAAAACCCAAAGTAATCTCCACAACTTTTATTAAAATGATCAAAGATCAATCGTAACGGAACATGTTTCGAGCTTATATAAGCTCATCATCAGCCAATAGAAAGTATCATAGTTCTAAAAAAATCAGTATTGACTCAGGATATAGATGCAAAAATTGGGCCCACGTGCCCTTGAATTCCCGAAAGGTGATAATAAAACTTTGAAAAATCAAACTAAAAAGTTTGATGAGGCATCAAAATTAACCTGATAAAGTGAAAGAATCACATGTGAGTGAAAATGACGGCAAACAATAGTTTTTTATCTCAAACAACGATATTGTTTACCTTCATTTGATTATCAAGTCAAACACAGTGTAGTATGGAGAAGAACAAATAATCGCTATCATTATTGTTGATATGCTCACTAACCTAACATTTTCCACGTCTTGTTCCTATACCTTGCCATTAGAGCACCTGACACATACACAAATATGTCACTCTGTGGTTGTATTTATATCGAAACTACAATTCGAACAGCCTTGGAAATTGAATAAACCTGCTGTTAATGCAGGCAGAATATTCTCACCACACGGATTATTTGTCAATATTTGTTGCATTGCATACATATGGCACGACATTGGTGGATACTTCATATATTTTTCGGATCAAAAGTGAATTTGTTTGACTTTTGCTCCTAATAAAACAATCTACTATTGTTTCACTAGGTAGAAAAGTACTGGCGTTTCATAGCCTAGGAAACCAGCCAAGGCATTACATCTTCTTTTCTGCCATGTGAAACATATCATTTTTCTCCAAATTCTCTTCAATTCCACGCAAAGTCCAAATAATCCATCATTTTTGGTTCAGTCAAAGTCATTGTCAATTTCAATTACCAATTTGATTCAAATTACTTGAAACAAACTAGCAACAAACTTTTTCTGCCTAGGCAGTAAGAGTACACCTTTTCTGCTTGTGGAGTGTTATTGAAAATCCACTTAAATGTCATTTGGAGAAAAATGTCTTTTTCAACTTGTGCTCAGTACAGGAATATCTGATTCTCGATATTATTAGAAGACAGTGATGACAAAAATCATTCGATCTAGGTCAAAATAATTATCTATGTCCTGAAACTAGCAAACTGAAATTCATTTACAAATCAGTTATTACACACACAAGACATGCACTTACCAAACAAACTGCGATAAGGACCATAAAATTTGAGAGCCGCATGTTGAACAATTCGCGTAGATTCTAGTCGGTTTTATGAGGTGCTCGTTCAAGTCTCAGAGCACTATCTCCATTGGAAAATCGTTTAAAATCCCTACTAAAAGTGATTCATTCCTCGAGTAATTTCATTGACTGTGTCAGCAGGAAGATTAAACATTAGGATTCATTGTCGTGTACCTACCACCAACTTTGTTGTATAATGTACTGGGCAAGCTCACCGACTATAATAACTTTAGCGTCCATAAAAAACGCATTTCAATGATCTCAAATCAACAATTTTTATAGACACTACTTCACTTTTCACATGTAAAGGTATTGTTATATATTATATCTTTATATCACGTGTAGGCAGTTGTCGCAATTTTGGTTGTTCAACATTGCAAGATAAGCGAGAGTTCTTTTATATTTCAACATATGCGGAAAAAAATATAAAGAAACTTGAAAAAATGATTATAAACTAGATCGACTTATATGAAATTACGATATTGAAACTTCTGTAGCCTCTATATATGTATGTTAGTGTCAGAATTCTAGTATACAAATTTTCATACACTCCTCAAGACCATATTTTATATAAATCAAAGACAAAACAACCACGTTTTTGACATAGGCTGAGGACCGAATACGATATGTATACCGAGTATTCCATCATGTCGACAGAGATACTCATCATCCATCATCACTAGCTAAAAGAATAATACATCATAGGTGTTGTCAACAGCTACATGTCAGGATCTAAATAAAACTACCTACAACGTAGTATATTGTATAAAGGTGTTGGTTTCAAAGAATATCTATTGCCTCAGTGTCGAATACGATACTTTTAATATTCTGATTTACTATAATCATTTTGTACGGCATTTTGGGACATAAGAAATTGAAATTTATTTCTGCTTTATAAATCGAATTATCTGATGGGTAGAATTTTGTTGAACTTACAAGGATTCATATAGCAATATGTATTACTTGATACAGTACTATTATGAAAGACCTCAAAAACATTACTATACACAGTCAATGAAATTTCAAAAGTCGAATTAGCTGAAAGTTTTACATGAACTTCTCATTTCGACAGAACTCTATGCAGCAAATTGATGAAGTTACATAATTGGGCGTTGTTTTGTTTCTAGCCTATATTTTTGGTTGAAAGTGTGATAACATTTTTCTATAGGTACAGGATCTGCACATATATTTCGAAATCCCCCTCAACTTATTTATTCATTGTTCAGTTTTTTTTAGTATAATACCTTATAATATTCCCTCAGGACATAATACATGGCATTAAACTGCAAAAACACAAGTAATGATGCAGAGTATTCTAACGCAATAATGACTATATATAGGGTGGGGCATCGTATACGATTCGGTCTTTATGTGGAGAACCATACAATATTTCAGAATTCTTTTCAACTGGCTGGATAGAGCATTTATTCATTTATTCACAATTTTAAATTATTTGGAGATATACAGGGTGTTCCATAAAAAAGATACATATCGAAGTTATATATTTTTTTAATAGAACACCCTATATTTTTCGGATTCAGCAGCACAAATGGGAGTGAGTTTCTCCAATGTCCCTATACCTAGAATTGGTGAATTGTATGGTAAATGAAGATAATTTTTATTTGGCTCTGTGAATAATTTTGAACCTTCTTGATAGCTTCGATTGTTTGGAAAAATATTAGAAATATACCTTCATTCATATTTCAATGTCAAAATTCATACAAAATTATGGTTGGAAACTTACAATTTATCAAGTTGAAAAACTTTGTTATTTCAAATGCCACACCCTGTGGTTAGTTACATATTCTGACGAGAAATTTGATTTCCTTTCGACCTGTATCATGGTTCCCTATACCTAAACCCAATATATTTCTAGAAATTGGCGATTTTATCCAAAACGGGGATTATAATTTATCTCATTTATTCTCAAGTCGTTGACATTTGGACATGTCGAAAATATATCTGGTGGTTATCATAATAACAATTCTTAATAAAAAATAACACAAGAACTCGACTGACTTGGAGATTTTTGTTTGTTTTCTTTGAATAAATTAAAGTAAATGCTCAAAATGACCTCCATTTTCTTCTATACACAAACGTAACCTTTTTTCGAAGGATCTTTTAACATTTAATAACATTTGTGGATTCACGGTTTTGAAAATTTTCGAATTCACTTTTCTGGAGATTACAAAACTCGAACGATATATAGAGAGTTTCATATGAAACAATTGTCACGGACGTCATTACTCAAACGTGGATCAATAACTCTTATAAATGTGATGTTTCAGGAGATTACTCAGAAATTGATAGTTTATCTGATAATGTTTTTATTTTACGGAAGCACTGTATGAAATTTAAGTACAGAAAAGATTATAAAGCACCGTTTCTTAAAAAAAATGGTCAATAAATAAGTACCTAATAAAGAAGTTAAGGAGGGGATTCAAAATATATTGTATGCTTAATAATAATCTTGCATGCATCAAATAGTTGAAAAACTGAATAAAAAAATGCACTTTTTTTTTCTGTGACAGGAAAATGGACGAATCAATATTGAGATGATATTACATTATATCAAAATCAGAAAATTATTGATATGAAATTTGAAGTTTTACACAGGAATTACACCTGCGTTGCATCAGGCATCTTCATCATTCTTTTGAAGTAATCTCGAAAACGAAGCAAGTTAGGACACATGTTTATATGAACTTTATTTCCTAAAATATCACAAGGATTCAACCCTTGCATTTTTCCGGTGTTATTCAGATTCACCCTGTATAATATATATACATCCGGGAGATAAGTACTCAATTTTTTCCCATGGGAAAGAGTAATTTATGAAAAGTGACATTTTATAACCTGTCAACCGAGATGAAATGTCAAACTTTTTTCCCGTCACAGAAAATATATTTCTAGTTTCCAGTTAATTTCCACGTGTTCTATCCTGTTTCAAAATTGCAAATTCGAATAATCGAAAAAGTTTGAAATTGGCGGTCAAATCATATTCTAACACCAATTTTTTAAAAAACTACAAGAAGCGTGTTTCCGCTTCGAAATGATACACCGTGCATAGAGAAATGTCGAAAAGAAGGCACATCATCATCATCATCGAAAAAATTCGCGCGCCTACCGCGTCTTTGAGCGGACGCCGGTTGACAATCGTCGCTCCACCGCCAACTTTTCGATTCACAGCACTGACACCGACTGTTTCCCGCTTCGGCACAGCCTACTCTGTTGTAGCACGCGTTCACTCCGCGAGCAATCCGAATCGGAGACGTCTCACGTGCCTGCACGGCGAGATCCGCAGGTTTTTCGCCAATCTAGTGGCGCCCGAGAACATCGAGAGTATGTGCATCTCGTGCCGAATCACAGAGATACGTCCAAGAAAGGGAGAGAGAGATAGACCATGGAGTTGTGGCAGGTCGGAACTGGGTCGACCCATCCCAACACCTCGTTTTTCCATCAGAAGTCATCAAGAAATGACCGCTATTCTCAATAGCTCAGTAAAAGGATAACGATTAGGACCCCATCCAGGAAAAGAATCAAGTAGTCGGTTTCTCTGGGGTTTTATATGTTATTGGAGGTGTTGAATTCGAATCTGAATTTTGCAAACTAAATTTCCTGAAGCGTTCCGAGATATTCGCAAAAAACAGCGAAATTTTCGGACTTTTTTCGGTTTTTTGCTCTTAACTCGGAAATCATTCAGTATATCGAAAAGACCGCCCTGAAAAAAGTTGAAGTAGATAAAATTCACTAGATAAAATTGTTCTTGCTCATGAATGTAGGACTGAATGGTGCGGAGATAGAGCCAGTTGAAAATTGACCGAATTTGGGAACTTAGTTTAAAAAATAGCGTTTCTCGTCGATTCCTTTATTTAGTCCATTTGGCTAATTTATGTTATATGTGTAAACATATTTACATATATACCTATATACTACTATTCTCATTAGCACACTAAACATCTTTACGTCCTTACACATTCTAATACATATTTAATGAATACACAAAAAACACTACACATACTAAAACATTTGTAAACCTATCATACTTTATACTAAATCGAAACAAACAAAATGAGAAAGTGGCCGCTAGGTATTTCATTGATGAAGAAAATATGATTTTAACTGTGCCTTGAAGGATGTTAATCATGTTAAGCGTTTGATCTCTTCTGTCACATTATTATAGCTATCAAGTCCCTTGAAAAAAACTGAATTTTGGGTATGTGTTAATGTTACTTGTTTATATGGAAGTCAGTTCTGAATCTTGTATTGTATCCGTGGATTTTGTCATTAGGATTAACACGTTGACTGCCAAGCCTGATTTCAACATTCTGACCCAGGGTACCATATGTATCACCGGTGATGCTTTTTCATAGTTCACTTCTGTACTTTATGTATCACCAGTGATAATGAACACATATTATTTGAATGCTTGTAGAGAAGCCTAGTGTATAAACGAAGTAATTAGATTGTGGGTATGGTACAGGTATGAACCAAATATTATCGGGTTGAAGTGGGTATCACCAGTGATACACATAGATCTGGAAAATGCCTATAGAAATTGACTGGATTGTTCTGATGAAAAGACGCACCGCTCACTCTCTTGTCAATTTTGTATTGAAATTGTTACACTCATGAGTAAAAAATAATCATCAATAATCATTGTACAAAGAAAATACTAATGTTTTTTTTTTTAACAGTCCAAACAGTATGAAGGTTTCTCTGGGCATTCCGCGTAAAAGGTGGTAACCAATTTTGTATGTTTTGCTGCCATCTTTGAATTTTTGCGTACCCCTCGAAATACGTTTATCGTCCATTATTTTCTCATGAAGGTTTGAATAAAGGCGCTTATAATCGAAGAAAAAACAACAAAATATAAGGAGTTCCCTACAATCATATGATGAAATCGTTCATTTATGTACCATGTGAATCACCGGTGATCTTTCAGCAAACTCTATCGAGATGAAGGCATCTGCTTCAAAATACAATATAGCGACATCTTG